TCTTGCTCTTCTTCTTCCCTGCGCAGCTGTGCTACTTCTCTCCTCAGCTGTGCTTCTCGCTCTTCTTTGCACTGCTGTGCCCCTCGCTCTTCTTTGCGCTGCTGTGCCCCTCGCTCTTCTTTGCGCTGCTGTGCCCCTCGCTCTTCTTTGCGCTGCTGTGCTTCTGCTTCTCGCTTTTCTTTGCGCTGCTGTGCTTCTGCTTCTCGCTCTTCTTTGCACTGCTGTGCCTCTCGCTCTTCTTTGCGCTGCTGTGCCTCTCACTCTTCTGTGCGCTGCTGTGCCTCTCGCTCTTCTTTGCGCTGCTGTGCTTCCAGCTGCAGCTTCATTATCTCCAGCTTAACGCTGTGCCTGCTGCCGCTGGATCCTCTGCTGCTTCCACCAAGGCTCAGGTGTTCTCCCATACTGGCAGGTGTTTGTGGCCGTTCCTCCCCTAAAGCTTCGTCTCGTGCTCTGAGCTGTGCCATTATCTCCAGTCTTCTCTCTCCCACTCTGGAAGATCTCAACTTTATCCCAAAATGGTCTGCTATTGACTGTAACTGTGCCTTGGTGCAATCCTCCAGCACCTGCTCATCTCTAGTGTCAATGAACCTTGTTACTTTATCATCCTCCATCTTGTGCTATGAGTAATAACCTGTACCTGATACCTAATACCACTGCAAAGTACCACAACTGCAACCTTTATCTTGATCGTTATTCTGGCAAGGTCGCCAATGTCGGGGTTCACCTCAAATGAGAGGGGAAAGGGGCGAGTAACAGTACACTCAAAGGTCACTCACCGTAGCCCAGCGGGTCTTCACTCTATCCTCGCGGCGCCACTGTATGCCAGGAGAGTATCCCAGTCAATCCCAACCGGCCTCTGATCGAGAAAGAGTGGGAACACAACTTGTTCACTCAACTATTGTGTGCCCGCCCCGTCATGGGCTCTACTACTAACCACAAGGTCGCCAACTGGTGTTTTCGGTGTCCAGTAACACGTCAGTGGATTTGTTAAATTGTGGTAACAGTGGCAAGGACACACTCAATAGACCTGATATCAGGCAGGTATTTACTTCTATCACGATCTGCTGTCAGGTATTATATAGCCACAAGAAATATGGAGGGGATGATATAAACACCAATGTACTTTGTATTTTACTTAAAACTCATTCAAAGACATCACAAGATTATATCAATAAGCAAACAGCTGTTTCAGGCGGGAGCCGCTCGTTCCCACATATAATATGAACTCGCCAAGCTGGCAATGCTCCCCCTCACGTCAATGTCAAAATTAGCCGGGCGACTACCCCCGCGCGAATGTCACTTTATCTGTTTGCTAGTGGCGTGACGCGCCAGTTTCTTTAAGTTCTCAAAGATCACTAGAAATTCGAACACACAATATTTGCGACAATAGCACGTAAACACTTTGCTACACTGATCTTGAGCTCAATCAAACATTTCTATATTAAATGTGACAATAATTCACTGTCATGGTATTACACACTGCCCTTCATTTAATGATAACGTATGCAAGTATATATTACTGGAGTTCTCAGTAATTCCTTTCGTGGGTGATAACACAATTAATCACTGCACACATGAATGATTATTCAATACACGAGCATAGACATATATATATATATGGATGAGTCAGACATCAATAATGGTAATAACATAGTTACTGGGCACATAGCCTAACTCCAAACACTGGCATATTTATATATATATTCTCTCACTAAATGATCTTATTAAAGTCTCATGAAAGACATTATCAACACAGTAAATTCATCAATTAGTCCGGGTGCCTGTACACACCAATAATAATCATAAATATCGTGGGTACTCTATGTAGCCCCACTGCACACTTGTGCCTTACTGTGACATAGGTGAGCCTTGCTCACGACATACAAAATACTCTGGCTAAATAATATAACTGACTAAAGAGGAATTGGGAGGGGAACTAGAATCACCTACTTCCACCTATCCTCCGGTGAGAGTCGAGTTGTAACTCCTGGTCCTGGCTCCTGCCTCGTGTAGGGAACGCCCCCACACACACACTGTTGTGTTCTCCAGGAACTCAATCAACGTCCCACCATAAGCGCGTCGTCTCCGTGCCTTTTCACTGCAGGTCCGTGCTCCTCCTCGACTTCTTGTAGGGTTGGAGTCGGTCTCCCGGCCGTCGACTTCTCCTCCCAGCTACGGCTGCCCGCCTACGTCTCGGCTGCAGTCGTTCGGATTCCCGAATAGTTTTCTTCTTCCACTTCTTCCCGGTGGCTCGGTCCAGCCACTACGCCGTCACAAACGGGTGAACTGCCTCAGACGTCGCATACGTCACTGCACAGACTTCACTTCTTCTTGCACAGTACCTGTCCTGGAGCACTTGTTGCTCAATATTCCGTCGATTCCCTCTCTGGTCCAACACATGAACGAAGGAAGACCTCACAGAGTACTGGCAGACTTCGGGTGACGCGTAAAATCCACGGGAACGGGAAACAACTATCAAACTGAGAGGACCAATCTTCGCACGTCCAACCACCTTGACGTGTCGTGTCAGACTGATTCCCTCCGGAGGATTGGCCCAGGCACTACGTCATCACTGTGAAGCTATCAGCCGTCGCATACGTCGCTGCCTAGACTCCACTCTTGGACCACACCTGTTCCTGGAGCACTTGTTGCTCAATATTCTGTCAATTCCTTCTCTGGTCCAACACATGAACGAAGGAAGACCCCACAGGTGATGGCAGACCACGGGTGATGCGTAAGTCCTCCGGAGACGGGGTAAACTGTCCAACTGACAGGACCCCCCAGCGCACGTCCGACCTCCTTGACGTGCTGTCTTAGACTGATGGCGCCAGCGCGGAGCGATGACCGGACCCCCCTTCCTTCGTGACGTCATATTCGCCATGGGAGGTTTTCATTGGCTCCCTGTGCCACGTCGCTGTCGGTGACCAATCTGGTGGTCACTGACGTCACACAGTTTTGGCGGGAAAACAGAAGAGCCAGCGCCATATTGGCTTCCTAAAGGGCCTAAACCACAAGCCAAAATACTCTTCTTTGATAAATTTCTCGGCACTCCGAGAACACTACATTCTCCCACATATGTCAAACTGCTGCCTGCGACGTAGAAAACGCTCGGGTAAAGTGGACATGACTCTTACTGCAGGCGTGGGAGAAAATATAAGGGGGGGAACACCGTCACAATATATATATATATATATATATATATATATATATATATATATATATATATATATATATATATATATATATATATATAAATATATATATTATATATATATATATATATATATATATATATATATATATATATATATATATCACTAAGAACTCTTGACCATTGGTGCGGTGGTCACGGTACTGTGTACGTTTAGGGGTGATCCTGGACGGCATGGGTTAGAATCCTGGACGGGTCAAAGAGTTCTTAGTGATATAAGGCTTGCGCGTTCATGCAGCTTTCTCACATATATATATATATATATATATATATATATATATATATATATATATATATATATATATATATATATATATATATATATATATATATATATATATATATGAGGCTAGGTCTGATAATAGTTATCGATAACAGTTGGACTGTAATGAAGTTGCGAGATCTGAATGTAAACGTGATCTAGGAGTCGTGTCTAGTAAATACACTAAGCCAAAAATCAGTAGGGAATAAGGAATATATGAAATGGGATTTTGTTTCAAATGGTTTTAGAAACTAAACATCTAATATTATATTACATTCACCTGGGCTCTAGAAGACTCGAACCACGAACCCCACTGGGGTGAGGAAGAAGATATAATACTTTACTAATATTATATCTCAGCTTTATCTTTTGACCCATTTACATTATGGCTCTCAGTCTGACCCTCAGCACTATAGACATGAGTTTACATGAAGGCGGACAGAGCAGGATAACATAATTAATCTCGAGCATTTAAACCTTCAATACGAATAAAGGTTAAATCCCTTAATTTGGATTCATTAGAGAGACAAAGAGTAAGGGATGACATGATTATAGTATAAAATGTAGGAGAGAGTATAAGAAACACGATATATGTAATGTTTATATATATATATATATATATATATATATATATATATATATATATATATATATATATATATATATATATATATATATGCAAACAAGCTGAATGGTGTGAGTTTTCAGTTATATATATATATATATATATATATATATATATATATATATATATATATATATATATAAACACTATGAAACTTTTAGTGCTTCATAAAGTGAAACTTTAAGTGTGAAATGTTTTAGTGTTAGGTTCAGATTCAGGAATGACCTGGATAAATTCTGGTTTGGAAAGATGATAGTTGATTTATGGAACAATTTACCTGTAACGTAATATTCTCGGGATCGCTGATTGGTTTTATTTCACTTGTAGTCTAACTAAATAGGAGCAGTCTAGTACATAACAAGTGTGAGCTGGCCTCTGAAAGATGAAGGAGTTTGACGGGATTTATTTTACTATGTTTCTGTCTATTGTCAATTGACGTGTCGAGTATTTAGGTGTTGCTTCTCAAGCTCTCTCTGGTGAGGACCTGACTACATGTGTACATGATGTAATCCTTAATGGTGTTTTGTGTTTGATGACAGATGCCTTGAAAGAGAATACTGTTCTATTTATATATTAAGTTCTGGTTAACAGTCCTCATGTGGGCATGTAAAGCCGTAGATAAAACCTGCCTCGTTCAGGACACACGTTTGGTATCTGCCAGGTTTTGCACATTTATTTAGATCTTAATTTTATCATAACACGTAAAATTGCTGCTTCAATTACTAATTCTCACAGAAATGTTGTTTGTTAAGCTTGCCGAGATCAGACAATATATAGGAAATATATTTACACCTAAGCAGGAAATATAGGTCTTTTAAACCATTATGAATGAAGTAAGAAATCACTGGTTTTGGATTATTCAAACTTCTTTATCTGAGAGTGTTTGTTGCGCCCCGGCTGACCTCTTTCTCTTGTGGACACTGAGAGAGCATGTGGCGAGGGTCACACTGAGAGAGCATGTGGCGATGATCACACTGAGAGAGCGTGTGGCGAGGGTCACACTGAGAGAGCATGTGGCGATGGTCACACTGAGAGAGCGTGTGGCGAGGGTCACACTGAGAGAGCGTGTGGCGAGGGTCACACTGAGAGAGCGTGTGGCGAGGGTCACACTGAGAGAGCGTGTGGCGAGGGTCACACTGAGAGAGCGTGTGGCGAGGGTCACACTGAAGAGCGTGTGGCGAGGGTCACACTGAGAGAGCGTGTGGCGAGGGTCACACTGAGAGAGCGTGTGGCGAGGGTCACCTGAGAGAGCGTGTGGCGAGGGTCACACTGAGAGAGCATGTGGTGAGGGTCACACTGAGAGAGCGTGTGGCGAGGGTCACACTGAGAGAGCGTGTGGCGAGGGTCACACTGAGAGAGCGTGTGGCGAGGGTCACACTGAGAGAGCGTGTGGTGAGGGTCACACTGAGAGAGCGTGTGGTGAGGGTCACACTGAGAGAGCGTGTGGTGAGGGTCACACTGAGAGAGCATGTGGCGAGGGTCACACTGAGAGAGCGTGTGGTGAGGGTCACACTGAGAGAGCATGTGGCGAGGGTCACACGTGTAGCTTCTCTATACGCACTCTGGTGATTCCTTTCGTTAAAACCATTTGTGATGGATTATATTTCCTACTTTCACCACGACGAATGATCATTATCGCTGTAAACTACAACTTAACCAGATTGTTAATGATGATGTTGAACATTCCCCCCCCCCCCACCGATGTCACCACTCCCTTCCACCACCACAACTACTACTACCATCACCACCACTACCACTACCACTCTCTCAAGGTTTGCTGATGATGCAAAAATTGTGAGGAGGATTGAAACAGAGAAGAAGAGTAGGAGGCTATAAGATGACCTAGACAGACTGAATGAATGGTCCAACAAATGGCTACCAAAGTTCAACTGGAGAAAATGCAAAGTAATGAAACTAGGCGGTGGAAACAGGAGGCCAGACACAGGATACAGAATAAGAGATGAAGTACTTAATGAAAGGTAGAGAGAGAAAGATCTAGGGGTTGATATCACACCAAACCTGTCTCCTGAAACCCACATAAAAAGAATTACGTCTGCGGCATATGCGAGGCTGGCTAACATCAGAACAGCATTCAGGAACCTTTATTAGGAATCATTCAGAATCTTGTATACCACATATGTTTGACCAATCCTGGAATATGCGGCCCCAGCATGGAGCCCGTACCTTGCCAAGCACAAGACGATGCTGGAAAAAGTTCAGAGGAAAATGCACCTTACGACCCTGGAAGACAGAAGAGTAGGGAGAGACATGATCACTACCTACAAAATCCTAAGGGGGCATTGACAAGGTAGACAAGGATAAAGTATTCAACACTGGTTGTACGCGAACAAGGGGACACAGGTGGAAACTGAGTACCCAAATAAGCCACAGGGACGTTAGAAAGAACTTTTTCAGTGTCAGAGTAGTTATCAGGTAGGATGCATTAGGCAGTGATATGGTGGAGGCTGACTCCATACACAGTTTCAAATGAATATAAGATAGAGCCCAGTAGGCTCAGGAATCTGTACACCGGTTGATTGTCAATTCAGAGGCTGGACCAAAGAGCCAAAGCTCAACCCCCACAAGCACAATTAGGTGAGTACAATTAGGTGAGTACATACACTACCGAGCCTGAGCAGATATATAGGTGACAGCAGAGGAGGTAATGAAACAGTTTACAACACTGGATGCAACTAAAGCAGTTGGACCAGACAAAGTATCACCGTGGATACTAAAAGATACGGCGCAGGCCCTCAGTGTGCATCTGGCAATGATCTTTAATGAGTCACTTATGTTGGGAGAATTGCCTAGTTGCTGGAAGAAGGCAAATGTCGTACCGATTTTCAAGAAAGGTGATAGGTAGAGGCACTTA